CTGCTGCTTTCCCACCCCACTGTGAGGGCAGGGCGCACTCACCACCAGCTGGACAACTAGGTGGCAGCGTTTTTCCAGTGGTTCTCTGTCGAGGAGGCTCCATCAGCTCTGTTACCTGCAGCTCTTTGAGCTCGGAGGCGAGTGTCAAACATTCTAGCTGAGAACTAAAGCAATTATCTGATTTATGGAGCTGTGGGCAGACTGCAGCACCCTGGCCTGCATGCCCTGCCTGCACAAACTGCTGCATCACGCTCCTGCTTACGCGCCCTGCTTTTTGCCCACTCTGGTTGCTGGCCCTCCCTAGGGCAGCCCTTTATGGGGATGAGGGTGGTGACTGTTGGTGCAAATGCTCATTTAGATCTGCTGTTGGTGGTGCTTCCTCTGCCCCTGCTGCCTCAGTGGCTTGCCCACAAGCTGGCCATCCCCAGCACAGGCTGGCCACTTTCCTGTCTCAGAAAGTCCGAAAATAGCCCCCAAAGGAACCATTGACAGTCTCCTCCCCAGCATGGACTTACCTGCACTAGAGCAAGTGTCCTCAGCAAGAGGACACTCACTCACCTTATCTTTATCCCTGAGTGAGCTGCAAGACATGTAAAAAGTTTACAGCCATTGTCCAAGCGAGCACATTGTCACCTAGCTGCTCCAGTGCTGGGATAATGGAGCCAGTAGTTTGGACTTAGAAGGCAGGGAAGTCAGGCAGCTGGGATTCCTTTATGAAGAGGAGCATAGATCAAAACTGGCATTTGGATCTGCTATTTGCATATTTCATACATCATATAACATCGTGATCAGTGTTATAAATGAGGGCTGGCCAGAAAGCTCTCTCTCTTCTGTGATTGTGGTTTCAGGATTTTTCTCTTCTCCTGGACCACTAACCACGAATGGGCTGGGCATTAGTCAGTGTGCGGTGAGCAATTGCACTGTGCATCACTCATTTTTTATATTCAATTATTACAGTTATTTTTATTTTATTTTATTTTACTTATTAAATTATTTTTTATCTCAATCTATGAGTGTCCTGACCTTTTCCCCTCTAGTTCTCTCCCTTGTTTCTCAGGGCAGGGGAGGGTGAGTAACCAGCTGTGTGGTGTTTGACTGCTGACTGGGTTACATCATGACACCTGCTTTGTCCCTACTACATCACGCAAACTTTCCTGAAGGACAGTACATCTGAACTCCATAGCCTTACCACAACTCAGCAGCCAGAACTATGTAAGTTCTCTTAGTGCTGCCTTCAACACATGATGCTCACCCTCGATATCATGAGCTCTTTCAGTGCAACTCCCTACAGTATTGCCTGCAACTTCATACGGTTTTTCAGCACTGGTCTTCACCACAACTTCTCCCCAAATCTCAGCCCAATCCTGCCCCAAATTTGCAACGCCTTTTCAACACCTCATGTCTCTGGCAGGATAGCCACTTGCCAGCATTCACAACTCATCTAAAAAAACCTCACTGTCTTTCCCACCATGCACAATCCCGCCTCAGCCACATCACAGCTCCCCCATTCATGAACAACAACCGTGGTGGTTTCCAGATGCCAAAATAAGTAGCATCCTGAGTATATTAACCCTCATTAACCTGTCCAGGATCCCAGGCAACTGTATAATTAGATATTGAAATTAGAGGATTATTTTCATTCAGACCACTATTTAACCTCCACATTAATTTTGGGATTTCTATTTTTAGTGCGTGGATCTCTGACATTTGGTGCCAGGAGATGGTTATGTTACCTTGGTTGTTATCAGACCATTCTGTATTTCAAGAAATTTCAACAAAGTAATGGACTATAGCTGAAACAATTTCTTTATTGACATCCATGAGGCAGATGTTAAAAATACACAGTAGAGCTCTGCGCTTGGTTGAACTAAACCATGAATCAGCATGTTGATTTGCTTAATTGTGTTTCATTTAATAGATTCACTTTTGAATGCAGATGTATAAGTTAAGAAAGGTGAGGCCCTTCTTAACAATAAGAACTCTATTCTTTTGTTCAAAATCTAGATGTCTATTTCATACCAAATCCCATCCTAAAATCAGGTCTCAGGTACATCAGAAGAGTCTATTTCTGGAGAGCTGTATTTCTTTCCATGGGAAAACCTAGACTAACAAAGTCAGGTAATTACCTGACATCCATAGACATAAAATAACTAGCTGACTTCTTCAGTTTCCCCATTTATAGAACGACTTTTTTAACTTACTGTGTAACTGACCTCTGCTAAAGCATCCAAGCATCCAAGTAATGTAAGAGGTTTTATTCACTGTTTTGCCAGTGAGAAAATTTCATGCAAAAGGATGGTGCTCCTCTTCTTACTACTAGCACTATCTTGAATACTCACAATATTGGAAATCCAAAGCAGTGGATTAAACAACCCCCTGCACTTTGCAAAAAAAGCTATCAGCTTGGCTTAATAAAGGATTCTGGACTGGTTCACTGCACATGCTTGTCCATATTAATATTCAACCAATCCATTGGCTCTTATTTCTAGTGATGATATATTATCATGGTAAAGCCACTGACTGGTTACTACTTCTTTAAAATATATTTACTTAAACTTTTCAGTCAAGGCAGAATTAATTTCTCTTCCTTTGCCCCTTCCTTTCATGCCTTTCCTTGACTAAGCCTCTACATCTCCCTCCTCTATCCCCAAGAGCCCTTCTGGTGGCAGATTTCCTGGGAGATGGTTAATGACTGGTACTTAAATGGCTTTCTTCTCAGCTCTTCTTTCTGCTGATGGGTTATGAATGCATGATTCGACGCACACAGGCCACATAATCCCCGCAGTCTCACACAGGCAGAAAATGTCAAGATACGCTTGTGATAAAGATGAGCATGACATTAAATTAGATAAGCTAATACAATAAAAGGCACATCCTAAGCAAGTTTGGAAGTTTTACGGAGGCCATTCTAAGTTCTTTAAAGACTTTAACACACTCCTATCAGGGAAAG